TTTTTTTTTTTTTTTTTTTTTTTTTTTTTTGTATTATCCGAAACTTACACTAAGGAACGTATTTTTCACCTTAATTGGTACAATTCAATATATCTTCCTTTAAATCTATATAGCTACGTTCTGATTGCAATCATTCAATTCCGGCGCTTCATATAAAGACACAATAAGGCTATTTTAGTTGCGTCTCGCGAAAATAAGGACTAACATTCCTTGACGCGTTCGTCAAGGATGTACCAAAATGACGCCTTCTAATGCAACCGATTGAAAATATATTTCAATAGTCTTCAAAAGTTGTCATTCAGCTTCCGATACCTCATTTAAGTTTCATTAATCGAATGCACTAAAGGCGATTTTCATAAGCTCTAAATCAACAAAAAAACGATGTGAAACTATGACCCGATATATTATTGGGAGAAGTTGAAAGTCCAATATTTACAATCTTCATAGAAAAGACACCTGACAAACTCACTAAAAACATTGTTCCCACGCAAAAAGATAGAGTGCTCACACTAAATCCGTGAAACAAATACTAATATTTAGCACTAAATAGTGATAATTAAACAACAGAAAACAAAGGATTCTGTATGAAATAGTACTAATTAGTACTATTTAATGTTCACGGTTTTAGTGCGTGCACTCTAATACAAAAATTCTTTTAGGAGAAACCTTTTTTACTCTATTATCTTTGTATACAGAAGTCTATGTCACGGAAATTAAGAAATTACAATAGGTTTTTAAAAACCTCGTTAACGGAGTTGTAATGCACTACCATTATAAAACTGCTTTCATTAGAAAACATGTTAGTTCTCAGTGATAACAATTGTTCTTTCGACCTAGAATATTTGCTTTTACTCCGACGAAGGACTAGCGTCCAAAACGTCAGTAAGATTTTTCATCAGTTCACGGTGTATAATTTACCTTTTCATCATTACTGTTTCATTAGAAACACCGACGCAGCTCACACTAGTTTTTAGCTAGTTATATCTTCTAGAATATTTTAGTATAGCCTAGCCTAGCTGGAAAGCTAGGATCTCTTTCTATATATAGAAATACCCCAAATCCTAAAGAAATAATTGTAACAAAGCCAACCTACACTGCTATTCTTTTACATACAGCTAGTCTAAAAACGTTGTCGGTTGGAGATCTGAAATCTGAACTGAGACTGAGTAGAACGCTTCAAATATTGATATATTCACAGCCGAACAACATGATTTTCCTTTTAGATTAGAATATGAAGCATGACTTTTTTGATTTTTTTTTTTTTTTTTTTTTTTTTGTATTTTAGCCAGAAAACATAAAAACACAAAAATTCTCAATTAGTCTCAATTTGCCGATTTTTTGAAACAATCTGAGGAATCTATTGCGATCCTGTTAAAACGAGAAAGAATTTTTTCAATAATAATGACAAAGCTAACGTGGACGATGTTTTGATGGCTTTAATGGCGCCTAATGTAAAGTTAAACACCTTTCCCATTTGCGCAAATAATCGTCCTAAATTAAGACTCATCTTTGGCCGCAAAACAACATATAATATAAAGTAAATAAGTAAATCAACTTAAGTATAAATATTGAAAATTACAGGGACCACGGAGGCGTTTCAAACAACAACAAAAATATATTTAGAATTCTATAATGATAGTAATACAATGTACGTTGCCATCGCCCCTCGAGAGCGGGAAGTTAAAATGCCCGCTCCATACAATACACTGTTTTCCTATCACGAAATTTTTGGGGGGGATTTTGGCAAAATTTTTTGCATGAAATCACTAGTTATGGATATTGAAATAAGAATCACAAAATAAAAGTGTCAGATTCGGCGTAAAAAAGCCTTTTACGATCCGCACAATCCAGTTAACCGACGTCCAGTCCATTCCACCCATGCACGGTTCCAGATTTTCCAAAATAAAAAATCTCTCAAAATTCAGAATCTAGAAGCATAAATCAAATTTTAGAGTTCGGACATGTTTTTGATTAACATTAAGATTATCTATACCCTTTTAAAAGCTGAAAATTGGACGAAACGTTTTTTGAGAAAAAATAGCTCTGCAAGTCACGTGATACACAGGTATCCCACCATCCCAATCGTTATGTTCAACGTCATCCATTTCCCATGCAGCCGTTTGTTTTCATCCATTTGTTCACTCATTTTATCCACCATTTTCCAGCCATCCAAAGATCCATGGACAACTATTGGAGATTTGATTTTTCTACTGGGTTCATTGACGTCATAACCAAGAAACCAGCACATCTCCATGGTAACCATAGCAACATATCCATTCATGGGTCACGTGATCACAATGGTTATTTATTCATTCAGGATCAGTCATCAATACAATTGATTGGGTTAAAGTATTCATGCTTCTCGAGCCCGTTCACATGTGCCAGCGGTGTTTCCATGGCGATGTGGTTGCGAGACCTAACCAAGAACCAAGCAACATACGTGAAGTCTAAATCTGGCGCGTTCTCACTAGTGAGGTCTTCAAACAACTCTCTCGTCGTTCGGATAGTCAATACAACAGTGATCTACGAAAGTACCTTTGTTATAAACACGTCTATTTGGAATCACATCGCCTTTACATGGGACAAAGACACTGGTCTCGTGATATACAGAAACAGTAGAAAACTCAAAACGAAACCTTACGTGTTTCATCCTCGTTCACCTCTTACCCATAATACACTGCACGACTCAAGGACTGATTCGTTATTCCTCAGTGGAAGAGGTTCCTTCGATGACGTCATGGTATGGCACAAACCACTCTCTCCTCTTGATGTTAAAAAGATATTTCAAGCACAGATAAGTAAGTCTGTCACAAACCCACTTTAAAGAACTGCTTATTAAAAAATTCTGACACTAAATTGGTTTGAAGTAGATTTGAATATGTGTGCCATTCAATATACCTAATCCACTGTAGATAAAGATAAAATATGATAGCTTATATATAAGAACCAAAATAGGTCATTGAAATAGGAGTCGGGTGACTGAGTGTCCTACATGACACCATATGACTGTGACTAGAGTTGCTTGCGTTCTCTCTTCTACACTTCGACGATATCCCTCCATTTTTTATTTTTTATTTTTCTTTTTTTTTCTTCTGATAAAAAGTACTGATTTGTTAGCCAAGGTGAATGCGAGTTGCTCTCGGCGTAAAATAACAACATTTGACTTGAACTTAACTTGTCGTTGTTTGTTTGTAGATTCTATCTTCAATGCTTCCTGTGCGGCAGGAATCACATCCCTCAACTTCTCCTGGCAACACTCACGTGACGTTTACAACACAATAGCGAGTTACTACGTCAAGCTGAGGAAAGGAAAGAAAAGTCGCAAAATCGATGCCTATAAACTGTCCAAGACCGCTACTAATGTCGTATTTGAAAACTTATGTAAGATGTTAACCTCTTATCAAACCTTTCAGCAAACATCCCAATTGTTTATGTTAGAGAGGCATATAATAAGAAAAGATCACTTTATCCTTAGGCGTAATGTTTTTCCGTTTCAGACCACGTGTCATTGTCTTGAGAATAAGTTTCTTCGTTTTAGTCGCATCCATTTTCCTGTGTCTTCTCATGCGCAACTGTTAAACAGAGAAATGATTCTCTAGAGAATGACACGTGGTCTGAAATGGGAAGACATGTATCCATATTCATGTGTCTTCTCATGTGCAACTGTTAACCCAAGAGATGATACTCTAGGGAATGACACGTGGTCTAAGATGGGAAGACATGTATCCATATTCATGTGTCTTTTCATGTGCAACTGTTAACCCAAGAGATGATACTCTAGGGAATGACACGTGGTCTGAAATGGGAAGACATGTATCCATATTCATGTGTCTTCTCATGTGCAACTGTTAACCCAAGAGATGATACTCTAGGGAATGACACGTGGTCTAAAATGGGAAGACATGTATCCATATTCATGTGTCTTCTCATGCGCAACTGTTAAACCAAGAGATGATACTCTAGAGAATGACACGTGGTCTGAAATGGGATAACATTGTATCCATATTCATGTGTCTTTTCATGTGCAACTGTTAACCCAAGAGATGATACTCTAGAGAATGACACGTGGTCTGAAATGGGAAGACAGTGTATCCATATTCATGTGTATTTTCATGTGCAACCGTGTAACCAAGTAAATGACACGTGGTCTGAAATGGAAAGACATTAGGCCCTAGGAAAAGCTTAAGAGGGCTATTACGTCATAGCCGCCATGTTGGATGACATTAGTATAAAACTTATTACGTCAACAAACAAGGTGGTCTAGACATGTATCTTGTCCTTATATTCTCATGTGGAAAGATGCATCTCAACAATAAGTAAAGGATCTGTTTACATAAGGTCGGAACTATCTCACCTTGTGGCTGATGTTTTTCTCTTGCACAGAGCTAAGCACCAGGATTTGAATGTCTTTTTATTTTCTTATATTTAGTACCAATGACAAACTACAGAATCAAAATATGGGCTGAGACAGAAAACGATGACATCATCAAGACAGAAGTTGTGAGATGCCAAACGAAGGAAGGAGGTAGAATTTGTTGACAAATTAATTTTAAGCTCCCTTCCGGAAGATACCTCTAGATTTTTTTTAATCATCGCCGGCCACGAAGCGGTATGAATACGGTAACAATTGCTGGGTTTCAATCATTCGTCCCAAGGGAAAGAAATAACAAAAGACATGGCGGCCATGTTGGTTGATATAACAAAAAAATACATTTAATTACATGTGCATGTTACGTCATAACCACGAACTTGGTTGACTATAACAAAGCATTCCTCATTAGCTTCTCTTGTTGGATCAACCAAGATGGCAACTGTTTCATTGTTATTTATATCTCAAGAGATTTTGAGTCACATTGTTGCACACACTTAACAAAATCTATTGAAAAAGTCACATTGCGCGGATCGGAATCAAACACGTTTCATCCAATCAATGCTGACATGTTTTTATTATCATAAACCAACAGAACCAGAGCGAGTGATAAACTTCAAAGCCAGACCAAAATCTTCGTCTTCCGTGTTCATTCAATGGATTCCACCAGTCAGAATAAATGGTTTCCTAAAAGGTTATCAGGTAGGGGAAGTCAGACTGGAATAAGATATAGCCTGCAATCGTATCGTCCAGTGGTCATTGACATCACAAATAGCTATTTATGAGTTAATTTTGGCTTCGAAATTCAGCTGATATTAACCATTGCTGGTAATAATAATTAATAATAACTGTTTGGTGGTTGTTTTCTCTTATTTTGGTTTTTGTTGTTTGTTTTTTGTTTTTGTTTTT